TATATATATGCAAAAATAGTATACAAACACCTATATACGAGTAAATATTCATAGTGTGTGTCTCTATATTAACATTCTTGGTATTGTTATGTTTACTACTATGTATTATCATTATGTATTATTTAATGTTGAAAAGTGTTGATATTATCATTCCGTACAACTTTGTCTGTCAAAGCAGAAAGTTTAATTACCTTCGCAAACACAAGTCTTTACCTTCGACCTTTTCGATTAATTTTTCTGCAGCCATTGGTTGGGTATTCACCTGGGAGCACTATTGGAACATGGTGCTGATGATATCGGACTCTTACCATCTACCAGATGGTCAAAAATAACTAGCTTAAAAAGGGTTTTACTATAGTTAATCCATTGATCACTAGTGGTAAACATTGATAGTTAACCCATCTGCCAGATGCTCTTATCATAGTTAACTGGGTTTGCAATCCAACCTTCGGGATCTTCTAGGGGACATGAATGGATGATGTGCTGTACGACAAAACGTACGGGTGTTCGTTTTCTTGACAGCCAACCCCTGGGTCTGCGACAAACATTGGGGTGCCGGCTTCGATTTTAATGCTGCAACCCAACCCCAACTCTACTAATGGGGGATCCAGCATTATACAAATTAGCATGTATATATATATAATCAATCCCTATGTTCTATATAGTCTCTTCATGTCTGTATTATAGTTAGCCATCCCTACATACACTCTATAAGAATCTAATACATATATATATATATATATATTGCGCGTGCGCCCTTGCTTGCTTTTCAACTTCGCCTTTGTTGCTCACGTTCATCAAGTTTTACCCACTTCAAATCATGATTTGTAGTACGAGTACATGCCCTCCGCTAATCAGACATGGCAGTAGGAAATACCAATTATAGACTATTTTCCTGGAAAAAAAACCTGCACGTATAGGATACCCACAGAAAGGCTTCCCGCTGATGATCAACCCTTGGGGGGTGTTACCCATGGATCATGGATCTCCCAGCTTTGCAGCCAGCTACGATAAGGATATTTGATCAGCTCCAGGCTCATATCCAGGACTCGATTGGCGATCACGGTCAGCCTGAGAGACCGCCATAACTAAGAAATTGAAAGGCGCATCATGTTCATATCATAAACTCTATACTGAGCGTGTATCAAGTTTGTATGTATACGTACATATATATATATATATATATCGACACAGGGTTGGGCCTAGGGTTGGTTTGAATAAATGCTTTACGCATGTTGTTGTTTAAAACATGTTTAAATCGAAAAACGTTCAACCAATCCGGGTAATGGGGGACCCTAGTGAACTGGTTTAAACATTCGCCCCCAACTCAGAGGTTGCTCCACACTTACAATCGTCATGATCATCATCACATTAAAATTTGCACCCCCTATGAACAATATTTTGATTGGGGTAAAAAACATCAACTTTATCTTCATAGCCACCTGAAGTCAGACGCGGCGCAACGTCAGGGTTGCAGCGAACATGTTTAAACATGTTTTTTTAAAGCATGTTTAAAGGAATTCCAAGAGATTGCGGATCCAAGCGCGCGAGATCATGCTCACTTGCAGAATAAAGCATTGAGAGATCTGCAGATAGTGACAGTATCCTAGTGCTTTGCTCTTCACTTCTTATTTCTTTCATCACTCACTTGGGACGTGTTCGAAACAGCCCCACAATACAATACATATGTTTAAACGTTTATATAAACGTTTTGGGGGTCACGGCTCTAAGCATGTCTCAACGGTAAAAAGTTTGAACGGTCTAATTTAGTGTTTAAATGTTTCGACCGACTCTGGCTGGCAATGAAGGATCTCCCATGTCTTGTGATGTTTTTTGCTGAATTGCTGGCTTCCCTGGTGTTTACTTGTCGCTGACTTTGGTTGCTTCATATGCTCATATCATATCCAGATGTGATCCCTGAGTGAATCTGAACCATCACCGCACCATGGGGCGGGTTCCACTGGTTCCACATATCTTCAAGCGTTGAAAACTGGTTGAAGGTTGGTCTTCGGGACTGATGCTTCCACTCATGAACTTCAAATAACACTATAAATGTTAAATATATAACGCATTAATAATGAAATAATTTAATGCAAACAGTTTCTAATATCTCCAGTTTTGATAGGGCGTCTTTTTGTGGCTCGCACCTGGAGGCCGATTGCTTGAAATACTCCTGGCCAGCAGGCACCGCCTCAAAGAACTTTCCGTACCTGGCCGTGGCTGGTTGAAAAACACACTGCTTTCAACACGAAGTCGTTGACATGGAATCAATTGCAACACTAATCTGGCGGGGAAAAAAACGGCATACTGTAAATGTTGTATCTTCACATGCATTCCTTCAAAAAACATGGTCGTTGTTGCCCTATACCATTCCTTGCCTATCTTATTTGGAGAAATAAACAAAGCTGTGTCGGGTAACCAACCACATTGAAACTGGCAGGACACCACCAGCAGCTCAATCTATGAACGGTCACGGTCGAGGAAAACCGTGCGATATGTATGCTTAAGGATTGCTACCTCGCGATCTTATATATATATATATATAATATACATGCATAGTTGCCCTTCTTGCACCTTCTTGCCTCCCCCACAAACATGCGAAGGATACCAGTCATGAAACCAACATGCGCCTCCTCAAAAAAGGTCTGGAAGATATTCTATGATTCTCTTTTGTTGTTTTTTTGTTGAATTCCATGTTTTCAGAGGTCGGCTGATTGCAACAAGATCAGCGAACCATCGCCACAAGAAAAGGCGTATATCAAGCATACCGTGCACAGTGCGGCAATATTTAGAATATCATTTCGCTGACTTGTACAGTAAATGAATGTAATTATAGCCTAAAACACCACGGATCATCTTTAAAAAAATGTATTTCATCCCCACTTCTTTTCCTTATTAGGAACAACGGATGCTGAAACCTGGGCAACCCAATCCTCAACAAATGTCATGATAATTACGAATAGCATATCAGCATCTCTCCATCAATCTCAATGATCACTGCAGGTCATCTATTGGACAATTCTCCCCGCGCCCCCGGTCACAAATCGATGGAAATCTCCTCGCGGGTCTTGTCTTCCAAAGAGGCAAAGTAGCGTGCCAACTGCTTTTCCTTGGCAGGCGGCAGGAGCGAGCAACCAAACTGTGGCAGTTTTTTTAGATTTTTGGCGGATATTTTGTTGATATTCGGTCGACAATCAACAAATACCGACAACCCAGCAAATGATTATTCCGGGATTGACATGACGTGGGCAACATGTGGGAACTAAGGTTCACTGGGTGTCAGGTGTGTTCAAGCTGTCAGAAAAAATGTGTCAAAGTTATTCTCAGATTAATGTCTGTCAAGCAATGTTGCGTAAATATGAACACACACATATATATAATTATATATATATATATCATAGAATGCAAAAAATATATGCACATTGATTAGAAATCATCGGACAACATGTCATAGATATCCGAAAATATGTCATGTGTATTAAGGTTTTTGTGTGACACTCTGGGAGCCAAATAAAGTAATTATGGTCACCGACACGGACAGAATTATGGGGAAAAAAAGTCTAACTTAGACAGTCGTCGCCTGTCTCCGTTTCGTTCCATAATTAGGTTTTCCTCGTAAGGGTTCCATGAAGCTTATTTGTTCCATGATTCTTGGACGGGGCCAGGATTTTCCACAATTGATGTTTCCTGCGTAAATCAGGGGGTTGGAGCAAATTTACCCGATTTTTTTCATAATTATGCGTTCCCATAATTTATCTTTGGGGGTCCTGTTGGCCATGTCATGGATCGACATTTCAACCTCAGTATTTTTGTGGTCTTCGAAAATCGCTAAAAGGCAATTGCAATGGTAAAATGATGTAAAATGATCAAAAATGTCGAACAACTGTAAAATCAATCAGTTCTAAACATCATGAACTAGATCTGAAAAGACTGCTGGAAACCAGTTTGCAAAATGCTGAAATACGTTGGCTAATTGCTTTAAACAAATGACAAAAAACTGAAATAGGTTGGACAATTGCTTGAAACAAATGGCAAAAGGCTGAAATAGGTTGGATAATTGCTCAAAACAACTGGTAAAATGATGAAATATATCTTGGGACACCTGATCAACAAATGTGAGTGTACTTTTCTTTATAGGTTGGTCATCCTGGAAGACCATTTCCGGGAAAAGTTACGTAATTTAAAGACCGTAAGAAAATATCTGAAGAAATGATAAACATGGATAAAGAAACTATAATGAAAACCAATGCAAAAAATAATGAAATGAATCAAACAACTGATGAACACCATGGCATGCTAAAATATGTTGGAACAACGACGGAACGCCAGTGGAAAAATGCTGAAATAGGTTGGACAAGGTTGGACACTTGATTAAAAACCAATGGGACAAGACTGAAATAGGTTGGAAAACTGTGTAAAATCGACGGTAAATTAATTAAACAAGTCAAAACACTGATGAAAGCCAATGCCGAAAATCATGAAATAGATTTGAAATACAAATAAAAACCATGGTAAAGTACTGAAATATGTTGAACAATTGCTGAAAGCCAAAGGAAACATGCTGAAATATGTTGCCAATTGCTCAAAACCAATGTCATTTAAGACCCATGCATATTTTCCGCAATTCAATATGTCCCGTGCATATTTCCGCAATTCAATATGTCCCGTTCAAACTGCGAATCGATGGACGTGTCCCAGCCGACAGAATTATGGAAAGAAATATGTAATTATGGGAACAAAAGGCCTAGAAATTTCCCATGATAGACCGACGAAGCCTGCCGATTGCAATCGTTTTTCTTCCATAATTCTGTCAAATGCTGTAAACAATAGTTCTTCTTTGTGCCTGGTGAATGAATGTTTCAAACCGCATTTTTTAGATTTGAGCAGAAAAAATCCCAGGCAAACAGCAACATGGATAAATGGTTTGCAGTGTTGGCTTCTTGTTAGTCAATGTTGATGGAACATACCTTATTTTCTCAATTAATTACAACTACAGTATA